CCCCCCCCCCCAGTAAATGAAGTTAATGAACACAGTAGAATGGGATCCCTGTAAATGTGCCTCGAGAGTTGTCCAATAACATCTCTCAAACTAGATATTTACAATTTAAAGCAGCACGGTCTAGAATAGCTTCAGTGATAGTACTTAGTGTTTTTGTGGGGTTTATTTTTGTTTGCTTGGGTTTTTTTTAGTAGCTGAGTAACTTGCAAATTTTGTGACTGAGTTGTTTTTTTTTCTTTATAGATGAGGTCATTGCTACTTTGGGTGAAGGTACTTTTGGAAGAGTAGTGGAATGCATTGATCGCAGAGCGTAAGTCTTGACTTAAATACGTGTAATTTTTCTTAGTGATACTGTCACCGAGTGGATCCTGAAGTGGGCGCCTTCTGATTGTGTCAGGTTTTACCTTTACTTCCTCATCTGCTGCTCTGTGTATTTCTGAAAGGCTGCCGCAGTTCCCAAACCTGGGTTGCTGCTCGTACAGCACCGGGAGGTGAGGGGTGTGCAGGACCGTGGTGGGCGAGGCGATGGGTGTGTCCTCTGCAGGTGCCCCCTCTTACCGAAAACTCGGAATAAAGAATTTATTGACACCAATGGGATGCAGATAAGCAGACACTTCTTTATTGACGGCTGAGTGCGCGGGGGAGTCGTCTCACCAAGAACGCACACCAAGCATCAAAATGATACATCTCATGTAGAACTTACTCATACACGTTGATTAAGTCTTCATGCATAAACATATACTTTCTCGGAAATCATCAACACGCTCTCCTCCTATTTCAGATTCTGCGCAGTGAAAGCTAGAAATGTCTAGAAATGGGTCTGGGGTGTAATATGGGTGGGTGGTCGCGATCTCCCCCTGCCGGAATTACCTTCTGCTTAAGTTCACGGTTTCTTGGCAGGTACTCGCAAGCTGTTACAGTTGGTTTTCCTTGGTTGCCATTAATCCTAGACCTTGACAGCTACATACGTTCTTCTAGTTCTATGTATATGTTATAAATCAATTTACAAATCAACTTGTGTTTGTTACCTAGGTTCCAAACGCTCCTACTGGTTAATTTTGACCAATCACTTTGGCCTTGGTACGGGGCCGTACAGGGGATTTTAGAGTAGCGTTCGGTTGCTGGCACAAAGTGTAATCAATGTGAACAAATAATTTCTACTAAAATATCCCTTAATTCTATGTTCATATTAAATTAAACATAATTTGATAGCAAAATCAGTAACACCCCCAGCCTGGTAGAGGTCGGGGGCTGTTGTGGGGAGGGGCCTAGAGAATGTGGGGCGAAGCTGCACCCCCCCCAGGCGACAGCCCTGGGGCCTGGACCTCCCCAGGCCTGTATAATGAGTAAGGTCTCAGACACTGTTCACCTTCAGGGATCATCTGTGACGATGCAGGTCTATTCGGTTCCAGCAGTGAGCATTTTACAGGTCACAGATGGATTTTGTGCTTGATGGCGGTTTTGCTCTGTGCAAGGTAGTATGAATCTGGATTGTCTCTCTAGTCGCTCTAGAAGGCATTTGACACCTCAGTTACATTTTCACTCCTGAAATGACTGACGGTGGCTTGTCATTTTTGGCTGACGGTCAGGTTAGGCCATGGGATGTAAAAGCTCCTCCAGGATTAGCCCGGCGCACATAAATACAAAGGGGAGGTAAACGGGGCCTTTAATAATAATGCCGATATATAAGGCATTGAGTGTGTTTTCAGAATTTAAAGGTTTAGTTGGTTTTGTACAGTGATGAACCTTGATTCTATTCAGTCTGTATGTACTTAAAAAACCCCTTTTCTGATGAGGTTGCCATTGTTATAAACAATGTATATGGTGACAATTACTGAATATTCTCGGTTAAAACCACCCCTTGTTCTAATCACTGCTAAAACCTTGTCTTTTCAGGGAAGACAGACATGTAGCTGTGAAAATAGTAAAAAATGCTCCTGGGTACTCTGAAGCAGCTTATGGAGAAGTACACGTGCTACAACACTTAAAAACGTCAGATCCCAACCATACACAGTGAGTAGACAAGGGCGACTGTACTTTGTTTTGGCTTTTAAGATTTCTGTGACATCGCTTTCTGGACCATATGACCTATGTATCTCGGCGTTCTACAACTTCTGTTGCAATTAATGGATTTTCCTGCTCTTGCAGGCACTGTGTCCAGATGTTGGAATGGTTTGAGTACCATGGGCATGTCTGCATGGTTTTTGAGCTGCTGGGGCTCAGCACCTTTGACTTCATTAGAGAGAATTGCTTCTTGCCATTTACGCTGGAGCACATCAGACAGATGGCTTATCAGATCTGCAAATCTGTGAACTGTAAGCATGTTTCTTTTTTTGGTTTATTTGTTAGATTTTCTTCACAGAATTTGCTAACTGTGTGTGTTACCTTGCAGTTTTGCATGTGAACAAGTTGACACATACAGATCTGAAGCCAGAAAATATTTTACTTGTGAATGCTGACTACGTAGAAGAATATAACCCCGAACTGGTAAGTTGCTGTCCTCTTCCCCACCTCCCCCTCAGCTCTGGTCAGGGTTTACTTGGTCACTTGCACCCCCTTGTGTGTCATTTCAGGAATGCTATGAACGAAGACTAAAGAATACGGACATCAAAGTTGCGGACTTTGGGAACGCAACGTATGATTTTGATTATCATAGCCCTTTGGTGTCTACAAGACATTACAGAGCTCCTGAAGTGATCCTAGGTCAGTAGACGTCTGTTTGGCTGCTCTTGAGCATAGGACTTTCTGCCTGCTACGGAACTGCCACAGCTGTGTCACGTGACTCAAGCGCTTGAGCTGTGGAAGTGTTTGCAGTCTGATGCACATGTGAACCTTCTGCATCTTTTCACAGCACTGGGATGGTCACAGCCATGCGATGTTTGGAGCATAGGATGTATCCTCATAGAATACTACCTTGGATACGCAGTATTTCAGGTAGGTAACTGTGAAACTCCAAAGGATGCAGCATGTATAATGCTTCTCAGCTTGGTGAAAATATGCTCCAGGGAGGTGGGGACTAAGGGGAAAGGTGTGTGCCAGAAATGAAGCTGCAGTTCTCTGGAATGCCAAGTTGAAGAGAACAGAAGCTGCAGGCACAAAGGAACTACCTTCCTCAGCAGAAGAGTGCTACAAGTTGCTTTCAGTAAACGTTGTGGCAGCAGCTTGATGGGAAGGATCACCCTGTGAACATCTGTAACCCACAAGCCACACCAGTAACAGATGAGCTTCCTCTATCACCAAATATTCAGCAAATACCTGAATTCTGTCATCTTGACAGTCAGTATTGCTGAAACTTGTAGACAAAGAAGAGAAAGGATAAGGCAGGAAAAAATAAGGGAAAAGAAACTTCAGTACATTGTAACTTCCTTCAGGAAACAGATGACTAGAGCCTCTCTTTTTTCCTTAATCTGAAATGAGTTGCCGGGTACAGTCAAGAATGAAGTGTGGTTCTTGACAACTTCCTCTTAACGACACACAAAAATGTCTCTCTCACTTTCCTTCCAGACCAATGACGACAGAGAACACCTGGCAATGATGGAGCGAGTACTGGGGCCTTTGCCAAGGCACATGATAGAGAAACCCAGGTAATTACGTTTTCTGCACCTGGACCGCTATAGTTTAAATATTTTCAGATTTGGCTTAGCAGCACATTTTTAAAGAAGTTTAATAAACTCGGATGCACCTTTGGCTGTACTTAACAAGCTGGCCACTTTTGTGGAACAGTCCCAGATCAGTTCCCAAGACCAAGCATGCTGATAAACTTCTAGCGAATCTTTGAATAACAAGCCCTGGTCTGTTTGTTTCAGGAAACACGAATATTTCCATCATGCCCGGCTGGACTGGGATGAACAGAGTCTTGCTGGAAGATGTGTCTCAAATTGGTGTAAGCCCCTAAAGGTAAGATGGCAGCGGGAAGAGGCGCTTGCGGAGAGGAGCTTTAAGTACAATTCCAATATTAACAACCCCCCCCCCCCATGTTGTGTTGTTTTCTTCCTGAAGGAATTCATGACCTGCCACAATTCGGACCACAGGAACCTCTTCGACCTCATTCAGAAGATGTTGGAGTATGACCCAGCTAAGCGCATTACTCTGGAGGAAGCACTGAAACATCCTTTTTTCTCGCCCTTGAAACGGCAGAAAAGGAAGCTGCCTCCTGTTGCTGAGAAGGCTGATGCCGATGTCACTCCAACGAGACAAAAAAAATATTAATTCATTTATTATGTACAGTTTTCCTGTTTTCTAGTGACTATTTTTATAAAGATAATGAAACAGCAACATATTCTTTTGACTGTGAGATTGAGGTCAGCTTCCACTCCCTTCAGGATGCTGCTCCCAGACCCAGCACAGAGAGCAGCTTTCTTCACTGGGGATTCTGCAGGACACAAGGGGCCACAGTTAAAAGTCCTTTCCCTCTGTTCAGGCCTCACGTCACTATTGCTATCGTTTCACAGTAACTACCACCTCCATTTTAGGGCCAATGTAAATTTGGTGGAGGAAGACACACATCTGTCAGCCTGAAAAGAGTCATTGGGTTTCTAAGGGTTTTTAACAAGGTTTTATAAGATTGCTGTTTTATAAGGCTGGATAAGTATTCTAATACTGATTTAGCGCATATGCTAAAGAGGTGCAACAAAAAGATGCAAATATTGCACTTGAATCCATTCTCCCTGACCAGAAGTGATGACTTCTTGCCCTGTTGTCTCTATTAGGCACAATACGGGATAAAAGTCTAAAAGAATTTCAGACACCTTAAGTCCTTTGCAAACAGTGAGATCTTGCACTTTATAAATTAAGGGTGGCGATTTAAAGTCAGTGGTCTAAACTTTGCAACCAATGCTGCACCGGTTCCGACCACAGTCATGCATCTGAAAATGTCCTCTCGTGTTTGTACCTGGTATTCCTCACAAAGATAAATTCCCTAAAATACATTTAGGGTACTTAGAAGCATTATACTGGGGGGAAAAAAGGAAAAAAAAAAAGTCCTCAGATCATGTTTGTAAAAGCTGGAAGAAAGGAAAATGAGGGAAGGACCCCCCCATAAGATAGCATATAATGATGAACCATTTTAACCTTTTTTAAACAGACTCTCACCAAGTCCCTTTGTTAGCCAGTTATTGACTCCATGAGGTATGGCATCATACGCCGTATGCGGAGAGTAAATTCCGATTCTGTGCTCCAGGGCTCGGACCACCAGCCGTTCCTTCCAGGTCTTCCATGTTACTCGCTTGAGTGGTGTGAATACAGGAGGGTGGTAAGGAAGAATGAGGTCTGCCGCCTTGTGCACTGCCTCTTCCATCACCTCCTCGGTGAGATCGTTAGTGAGGAAAAGGGTCTTCACAGTGTGGGGAGGGCTTGGTTCCACCAGCAGCCCCACATTGTCCCAGCTTTCAGCCAGGGAGAGGGATGCAAAGTCATTGAGGGCAGAAACGAGCTCCCCGAGGTTCATGAGGGAGCGTGAGGGCAGGTGGCCCCAAGCACGGAGGCAGCGGAGAGGCCGGCGAACCAGCTGTGTGCCGGGCAGCAGCATGCAGCTATCTGTAGAGGGGGCAAAACCACGCAGGCATAAGCCCTGGGAATTCACTGGCTGGAAGAGCAGAGTGAAGAGCGTTCAAGCTGAGAATGCCGCCCCGCTGACAGAGGGCAGCGCGGTCCGGCCTCCTGCCTCTGGGAGGTGCAAGTACCTCAGATCGGCAGAAAAGGAGCGGTAGCTCCGAGCCGTCGCTGCTCAGGTGGGAGCCGAGGGCCGCTGGGTTGCGGTGAGCGCTCTCGGCCCTTGGGAGGCTTAACCAGGGTGTGCTCGTCCTGGCGCCTCGTCGCCTCGACCGGCAGTAGCCGGGGTGAGGGGCCGGGCCGCGGCGGGCGGGTCCGCCGGCGCCTGCCTGAGGCCTCGCCAAACCTGGGGGCTGCCCAGGGAGGGCAGCACCCGCAGAACAGAGTGGCGTCTAAAGCTGTTGATTTCCACAGAACTGCGGTTTATCATCATCGTTCCAAAGGCTGTTCTTTGAAACTACTACTAAGATAAAGGAAGTTTGATCCTGTGCTTGAATGCAGGGACCTGCCTGTGGCAGCTGTCAGAAGGTGGCTCCAAATCACACCTCCATTTAGGTCCTGGCATGTGGCTTTCTTTTACCTGTTAATTTCTGTCATTTATAAAAAAAAAAAATCTTTGGAAAAGTTGAGATTGCTTAGTATAAACCTTCATCCTAGGAAAGGGTGTTTTTTGCCCCCACCCTGTGGGAGTGTCAGCCCTGCACAGCTGTTGGACATTCAGTATCTAAGAGTCAAACTGACATGGGCAGCTCAGCTCAGGATGCTTGGCTCAGTGAGCTCTACTCCATGAGGGACTGCCTGTGTGGTGAAGAAAATGGCAGCACTCCACGAGGGACTGCCTTTGTGGTGAAGATGTGTGCCGAATTTGATTTGTGTGTATTAGTGGTCAGTGTGTTGGAGGAGTAATGCAACTCATGTGAATGCCATCACCACTTGCAGTGGATACAGTGATGATGGTGTGAGAGACTGCTTGTGTGACTGGAGTGATGAGCCCCTCAAGGAGTTATCTTCCTTATTTTGTAATTATTCTATGTGTACTGTTTTTTCTGAAATTTATTTGTCTAAGCCTTAATTGATAAAGCCTTTGCAGGTGCAGCTGTAAGACAAAGAAGGGGGAGATGTGGGAGTGTCAGCCCTGCACAGCTGTGGGAGGTTCAGTACTTAAAAGCCAAACTGACATGGGCTTGTCAGCTCTGCTCTGGAGTGCTCTGCTTGGTGAGCTCTTCCCAGGAGCTCTGTTTTGTGCCAGCTCAGAGAAGCGCTGGTCAGTCCTGCACTGGCTCGGACATGGGCCAACTCTGCTCTGCACAGGCCCAGAGAAGCAGCGAGGCTTTGAGGAGAAATGGGCCTTGGAAGAAAGCTAAGTCAGCTCTGCATAGGCCCGGAGAGATCTGGAGAAGGAGAAATGTTTTGAGGAGAAACAGGTCTTGGAAGAGAGATAAGAAACCACCAGGCTGTGCTAAGGTGGATGGAACTGTTTGTGGGAAAGAGGGTTGATGACTGTCTAGTTGCTGATGTGCTTATTATCAAGTAAGAGCTTGAATGAGAGTATAAGTATGTATTATTGTATGAGTATGTATTACTGTAAGAAGAAAAAAAGAATTTAAAGAAAATAAACAGCTCCTGCCCCGCAGAAGGACAGAAGACGACTGTGATGTGTGAGTTATTTTGGTCGCTACAACTTAGTACAACTTAGTATAATTTATTACAATTGGTGACCCTGACATATGAATCCCAACTTGATTTGGGACAGAGCGAGGACCATGGAGCTGAGCCATGGTAGCGGAGCCCAGCTGAACTTTACGATTGGCAGAGGTGAGCTAGCTAGTCCGGACAAGGAACTGAAGGCACCTGGATAGAAGGTGAGCAGCTGGGGACTAAAGAAGATGTGAAAATTTCTGCAGAGAAAAAGTCTACTTTATATATTTTGGTAAGAGCTCTGTAGCACATGAGAACCAAATATGAGGAATATGAGCGCCCATCTGTGGTGTCTTGGGGGAATCATCACTGCTGCGCAGCCCATGCGCACCGGCCTGAGGCGCAGCTTGTGAGCTACCCCAGATTTGCGATTGGAAAGTGCGCTAAAAGTGAGTTATTTATCTTTTTTTCTTTGAGCTAAATATCTAGGAGATGATCATCTGGAAGTTGTATTGTCATTTTGACTTAGCATCAGGAATTGACTGCGAATTTATAGAAGGAAGCAAAGTTTAGGACAGGTTCCTTCAAGTCTTTAAAATCCCACTGGACAATGCTTGCATGCCGCTTTGAAGGACACGGAAGCCTGCCTGTTTCCTTGCGTCTGCTCCATCGGGTGCCTGCGCAGTTTTGCAGAAATGACATGCATGGTGTGCATTTAGTATCTGAGCCATGATACTTTTTTTTTTAAATTTTCATAAAGAAATAGGTTATTGGTTATGTTCCCCTACAGAAAACAGTTCATTTCAAACTGTTCTCCAATTAAAAAATAATGTGGAAGAAAGAGTGGAGAAAAAAGAAATTTGGGGAGTTGATGAAAAATACTATCTCTGTTAGAGCATTGATTGCAGTAGTGGAATGCATTGATCGCAGAGCGTAAGTCTTGACTTAGATACGTGTAATTTTTCTTAGTGATACTGTCACCGAGTGGATCCTGAAGTGGGCGCCTTCTGATTGTGTCAGGTTTTACCTTTACTTCCTCATCTGCTGCTCTGTGTATTTCTGAAAGGCTGCCGCAGTTCCCAAACCTGGGTTGCTGCTCATACAGCACCGGGAGGTGAGGGGTGTGCAGGACCGTGGTGGGCGAGGCGATGGGTGTGTCCTCCGCAGGTGCCCCCAGTTTTAATTTTAAATTTTCCAATGGTCCTTTAAATGGCGATTTCTTCCAAATTGGACACATTTTTGGCAGGCCTGAAGTAACTTGTTTCACCTTACCATCTGCTGGTAAGTGGGTTGTCCAGGTGCCATCACTTAATGCCCAAAGTAAATGTCCTGGACTCTGAATGGTAGATTTCTTACAACTAAAAAAGTATCCTCTTCTGGGTGTATATATACTAGTCATGGTGCGGTTATGAAAACCTCCATAGTAACAACCAAACTTCAAAGTAGCTGCCAAATGAGGAATTCTTTGAATTATTGTTTGCATTGCTGCAATCATATACTTTTTCACATTTCCACCATGCACTACATGTTCCTTTTCTAATCGTGTAGTACATTTATCTACTACCGAAGGAAGGATTACAAACACTCCATTAATCCAGGTACCGTCCCAAGAAAACACCAAGGGGTTCTGGCCATGTACTGAAATCACGAGAATATGGACATAGACCATACAGAGTCCCACTGCGCCTGTTTTTGGGTATTTTGACCAGTTTTGTTACACTGCCGTTCTATAATGGTCCTACTTACATTGTTTTTAATCTGTTCATCATGAACACAATCTAACAGCTGGAACCCCAGGAAGAGGGGACTGGTTGGATTGCTTTCGTGAAATTGTAGTTTAACAGTTTTTTACAATCAGTTTCTCTGCCCATTGATTTCCATCATTTCCTAGTAAGTTTTACCTGTTCATACTATTGAGTCACTGGCCTTTGTTCACAATGTGGTCTTGTTTTTATGTTCCAGATTGGTCAAATTCATAGTTAAGATTCCCCATGGAATAGATTCTCCTACTGCTCTTGGTATTGGTAAACAAGCTATAATCTGTGTGACATTTTGTAAACTGGCAAATCCCTTAATTAACCCTAATATTAGATTTTCCTCTGGTGTTTTCTTTGGGAATGCTAATCAGTTGTTCTGTTTCTACTTGTCTTTTGTTCCTAGTCATCAAATCAGTCCAGGATTCTACCGATACGATCTGCCAGGCTAACATCAGGAGAACAATCACAAACTGATATGAAAAATTAGACATGTTTCAGAGTCAGTTTTAAAGTCTTTGGGTCACGGCTAATAATCTTCCAAGGAGTGGGTGCCTTTTTCACCCAAGTATAGTGTATCCAAGCATCTGATTCTGCCATCTTGATATCCGTGAAGATGGTTAACAGTATCTGGAAAGGTCCCTTCCAGCGTTCCTGCAGAGGTTCGGAAGTTCACATTTTCACATAGACATAATCTCCTGGTTGAAAGTCATGCACTGGATTCTCTAGAGTTAGGGGTCTGTTCCATGCTACTGCACTCTGAATCACATTCAATGTTTTTTCTAAGGTAAGCAAATAGTTATACACATCTTGTTTTCCTTTTACATGCATGTTTGGATTTGGTTCTGGGGACTTATAAGGTTTTCCATACAATAATTCCTAAGGACTGACTGAGGTTCCACTCTTCGCTTGTACTCTGATTCGTAATAATGCCAACTGCAGTGCTTAAGGCCATTTTAAATTTGTCTCTTGACAGATTTTACTTATTTGCCTTTTTAAGGTTTGATTCAGTCTTGCTACTTTATGACTGGATTGTGGCCTCCGTGGAGTATGCAAATCCCAAGTGATACCCAGAATTTTGCTAACATTTTGGAATATTTCTGCAACAAAGTGTGGACCTCTGTCAGATGAAACTCCAATAGGAACTCCGAACCTTGGAATTATTTCTCGTAGTAACCATTTTGGTACTTCTTTTGCTTGTGCGGTACGACAGGGAATAGCTTCTGGCCATCCTGTATAAGTATCAACCCCCACCAGGATGTATCGGTACCCATTTTGCCTAGGCAATTCTGAAAACCCTATTTGCCAATAATCTCCAGGTTCTGTCCCAGATTTTAACCTACCCATTTGGACTCTTTTCTTGATCACTGGATTGTTTTTCAAACATATTTTACATTTTGCAGTCGTTATTTTAGTCAATCCTAACATTTTGACTGATACCACCTGTTTTTGTAAAGAAGTTACTAAACCTTCTGCCCCCCAGTAACATTCCTGATGACTTGTTTGAATTATTTTTCTCATCAACAAAGGTGGAATTGCCACTTGTCCATTAGGGGTTACTCACCATCCAGCTAGGTTTTTCCTAGCAATTAATAACTGGCCTAACTTATTTTCCTCCTCTGAATATTTTTGCTTTTCCCTAGAAAGAGTTACTGTTTTGGAGGGAATTAATGCCATTTGGAATACTCATTCCTTTGCTATTTTTCTTGCCATTTGGTCAGCCAAAGTATTTCCATAAATTTCTTTTGTGTTCTCAATCTGATGCGCTTTACAGTGCATGATTGCTACCTGATCTGGTTTTTGAACTGCTTGTAAAACTTCATTTTGATGTTTAATATTTGATCCCCGAGAGGATAATAATCCACTATCTTTCCACAAAGCTCCATGGACATGTACCACCCCAAAAGCATACTTTGAGTCTGTCCAAATATTTACTTTCTTCTTTTAACTGAGTTCTAAGGCTTGTATCAAAGCA